AATAATAATAATAATAATAATAATAATAATAATAATAAAGTTGGAAGGGACCTTGGAGGTCATCTGGTCCAACCCCCTGCTCAGGCAGGAAACCCTATACCATTTCAGACAAATGGCCGTCCAGTCTCTTCTTAAAAACTTCCAGTGTTGGAGCATTCACCACCTCTGGAGGCAGGTTGTTCCACTGGTTAATTGTTCTAACTGTCAGGAAGTTTCTCCTTAGTTCTAGGTTGCTTCTCTCCTTGATTAGTTTCCATCCGTTGCCTCTTGTCCTGCCTTCAGGAGCCTTGGAAAATAGCTTGACTCCCTCTTCTTTGTGGCAGCCCCTGAGATACTGGAACACTGCTATCATGTCCCCCGTCGTCCTTCTCTTCATTAAACTAGACATACCCAATTCCAGCAGCCGTTCCTTATATGCTTTAGCCTCTAGTCCCCTAATCATCTTTGTTGCTCTTCTCTGTACTCTTTCTAGAGTCTCAACCTTTTTTTTATTAAACATCAAAATATTAAAATAAAAAAAACCTGGCACCATACTAGGGGAACAGCCAGGTCTTGAATGCTATTTGGAAGGTTAAAAGAGTAAGAGCCTGCTAAATTTCAGGGAAGAGTTCTACAGGGGACGGGCTACAATGGAAAAGGCACATTTCATATTCCCATAAGATGGCAACATTTAAGGGAAGGGACAAAGAGCATGTCCATGCTATCCAATCTGTTGAGTGACATGTACAAGGGAAGGGAACAAGATGAATCAGGCGCCTGTAATGGTTCATTTTCTTGATATATGCAGTGAAAAGAAGGAAAGTTGTAGCAAAATCTTTTGCCTCTAATTTGACAGCCAGTTAGAATTTAGACTGAAGGTTAAACTTTCCCCCCCCAATTAACTGGCTCCACTTGACTTGATGCTCCCTTGATGGTTTTAAGCAATCCCATAGCCTTTTTGAGGTTCTTTGGTTGCTATCCCTGATCCTTTGCACAGACCTTCATTTCTGCTAGCTGCTCTCTGGGCTTCCACTTCTATTTGTGGGAAACTGTTATCAGAGACACTGCTAACTAAAATTCCCATACCTCATTGTCTAGAAGCTAAAGTAACCAAAGATTGTTGAAATAAGTGTGTAGGAACTGTAACTTTTCCTAGGAAAGAAAAATGATTAAAATAAAGTGTATTATAATGTAATGCTTGTCTTCAACTCTGTGATACGTATAACAGAAACAATATTTGCAACTAGACCAGAGGTCCCCAACCTTTTGGGCACCAGGAACCAGTTCCATGGAGAGAGGTTTTTCCATGGACCAGAGAGTGCATGGTTTTGTGTGCTGCCTGCATCCTGCTTTGCTTGTTTGTGCGGACTGGTTGCTGGCATGCCGCGGTCTGGTACTGGTCCACGGACTGGGGGTTGGGGACCCCTGAACTAGAAACCCTTTTATTGTTCTCATTTTGTTCCCCCATTCACATTTCTCTTCTTTGTTTTTCTAAACTTAGGGAGAGTTCATGATACAACTGAGCCTTCCTTTCAGTCTCTCAGTATAAGTTAATGTATATATAGCCAGATAGCTAATCCTTAGCATCCAGCAAGAAAATAAAAGTGCATACATTGTCATCTTTCCTT